AAAAAAAAAAATCTTAAAAGAACCCTGAGATCATGACCTGAGCCAAAATCAAGAGTTGGACACCCAACCAACTGAGCCACCTGGGCACTCCACTGTTGTATATTTTAATTAGTTATATCTTTTAGGAATCCTCCTAGCTATTATTATTGTTCATATAGTCAGTATTTGTTGAGATTCACCAACATATTCAACGTGTTTATTCCTTCTTAGCATCTCAAACCTTTCATCTGGGATTAATTCTCTTCTGTCTGAGATAGATCCTTCAGATTTTTCTTTAGTGAGGGGGTCTGCTAGTGGCATGCCCTCTCAGTTTACATTCATCTGAATATGTCATTATTTCAACTCCTCCCTTGAAAGACATTTTCTCTGGGTGTAGAATTCTAGATTGACAGGCATTTTCTTTCAGTACATTGAAGATATCATTCTTTTACCTTTTGGTTTCCATTGCTATTGAGAATTCAACTGTCAATCTAATTATTTTTCCTCTGATCTGTCATTTTTTTCTCTAGCTACTTTAATGTTTTCTCTAGCTACTTTAATATTTTTTTCTCTAGCTACTTTAATATTTTTTCTCTAGCTACTTTAATATTTCATATTGGTGTTCTGCAGTTTTACTCTGATACTTCTAGGTGTGGATTTTGTTGAATCTTGATATCTTGGCAGAACCACATATATACAAATGATGATTTGTTTATTTTTATGTGTGAAAAACTTTAAATGTTTTATATTACATTTTAACTGTTTTATCATCAATAAGGATTTCAAATGGCACAAATGATTGGACATTATAAAGCACTTCTCATGACTGCTTTATGAATACAAATAATCCAAACCATGTGAAAGTAGAATTTGGAAGCTTTAGAGTAGAAACAAAGATGTGCCCCCTGTTGCCTCATTCTGTTTTGTAAAGATTCACAGAAGTCCCCAGAAGAATCTAAGGATTCTGGGAAAAGTATGGTTAAAGATTGTTAGTTGATACTCACCCAAAGATATTTCATAAATGATTCATTTTTACTTTTTTCCAAGCATTGCTTATTCATTACATGGATTAATAGGGTTATTGCTGTACTTATTATACAAGGTGAAATACTCTTTGAGTAGAGAAAACATTTACTTTAGCCAATAATCATTCATTAAATGACAGCTATAATATAAAAATATTATTTCTTAGATGTAATGTGATATATTCTAAAATCATACTACTTTAAAATTATTTTTCATTATTTTAATATAACAGTTTTTCTCTAATAGAAAAAAGTAATAAATGCTCAAAGCAAAAAATTCAGGAAAGCATGCAGAGATAACCATGACAAATAGTTTGATCTGTACTTGGCTTTGTACTGCTTTTTCTTCTTTTTGTCTTATACATATAGCTTTAGAACACACATGGCCAAATCAAGAGAAATGTTGAAATAAGTTGTGGCATAGTTATTCTTTAGAATAATATAGAACGATTTAGAAGAATGAGAGGATTCCTGTTTACTAAGAAAGCTTTCCAAGATGTGTTAAGTGAAAAAAGCAACCCCTCAAAATACATACAGTATAATACTATTAAGTCAAAACAAATAATGTATTTCTATGTGTAACTATAGATGTATGTATATTCATACATAGAAAAGATCTGAAAGGCTATATATCAAATCTTTAGTAGTAATTATATCTGGGAAGGGGTGTTGAGTGGTAAAGGGAACTTTTGCTTTTATCTGTGGCTTTTTAAAAAAAATTTTTAATTAATTTTTTTAAGATTTTATTATTTATTTGCCAGAGAGAGAGAACGAAAGAGAGAAAGCAAGCACAAGCAGGGGAAACGGCAGGCAGAGGGAGAAACAGTCTCCTCGCTGAGCAAGGAGCCTGATATGGGACTTGATCCCAGGACCCTGGGATTATGACCCGAGCCGAAGGCAGACGCTTGACGACTGAGCCACCCAGGTGTCCCTGTGGCTTTTTTTTTTTTCTTTTAAACAAGAACATGCTGTAGGTTACATTTGTACTTTAAAATAATTAATTTTATTTTGAAAGGGATTATTTTGCATATTCTGGTTTCTTACCTACTTTTTCATAATACATTGTGATTGTGTTCCCATGTAAAATATATCCCTACAAAATTATATTTCTGTGTTGTATTACATTACATGGCTGTACCATAATTTAGCCACACTTCTGTTTTGTTTGACATAGATGATATGATGAATATATCTTTGCATATCTCTAATTATTTCCATAGACTAAGTTTGCTGGGTTAGGGGATATGTTTCTAAGGCTGACAAACTGTCTTTCAGAAAGTAATACCCATTTCCATTCCCCTCAGAGGAGAGTGAAAGTGGTTTTTTCCTTCTCTGGTCAACTTTGGGCATTATCTTATTATTTTTGTTAATTAAAAAAATGTTTTTAAGGGACGCCTGGGTGGCTCAGTTGGTTAAGCGTCTGCCTTTGGCTCAGGTCATGATCCCAGGGTCCTGGGTTCAAGTCCGCATTGGGCTCCTTGCTCTGCGGGGAGCCTGCTTCTCCCTCTGCCTGCTGCGCCCCCGGCTCGTGCACACGCGCTTTCTCTCTGACAAATAAATGAAATCTTTAAAAAAAGTTTTTAAAATTTTCATTTCTTAGATTATTAGTGAGGTTGGATTTTTTTTCCATATACCGTGGCTATTAATATCCCTTTATAATTTTCCTGCTAATTCCCTTTTCCTGCTTTTTTCTTATTGTTACCTTTTGTGTTGATTTGTTTTGAGTGCTTCATTTATTACATATAGCAATAAATGTCAAAAAAGTAAAAAAAAA